CAACCAATTTCTTTTTTAAATGAAAATTCATATCATTTTCTGTATATATTTAAGATTTCATGACCATAGCATAGAAAGATAAATTTGTTATGAACGCTTTAAAATGGCTGGTCAAAAAGCAACTCAAATTTAGGGGCTTCTTTATCGATGATCTAATAGAAAATATTAACACATTTAATATTTTTATTGAACTAAATCTACTTAAACATAACAAAAGCTTAACTTTTAAAAAAAACTGCAAAGAAAATATTATTTTGTGGGGTTTTTTTAAGAAGTCCCAAATTTGAATTGCGGCTCATTATTTTTTTGACTAGCCACTTTAAAGCGTTCATAAAAAAGTAAACTATCTATAGCACACCTACCTAAAAACATCAAGGCTAAAGAAAGTTACAGTGGTTTGTAGCCTGACTCGATCACTTCGACTACGCGCGAGTACGGTCCGTTTCTAGGCAGGACGACAAATAGAGTGTGCTCCTCTCAAATCATGTTTCCTAAAATGTGTCGAACTACCGTAACCTCGCAGTTCATAAGCAGAAAGTTAGTTTTATTTTCTAAAGTTTCTTTTCTTTCGTCTTTTTCCTTTCGTCTTCTTTCTTTCGTTCTTTTACTAAAGAAAAGCAATTAATCCGACTTTTAAAATATCAAAAATATACAAAAAAAAACTGTCCTGGCACGTTGCTCGTTTTTTTCTCCTTTGGCTGATCAGCTTCTTCCCTTGTTTATTGTTTCTCAAAATGAATATTTGTTTAAAACTATAAAATTCCGATAAAGATAGAAAAAAGAATTAAAACTTTCAGAAATAATAAAAGAAAAACGTTTAGAAAATGACTTTGCTAACGAGCAGCTTTTAGCAATCATGATTTGAAGGATTTGATTTGATAGGAACACACTCTAACTACAAACCACTGTAACTTTCTTTAGCATTGATATTTTTGAGTGTACTTTATTCCATTCGAAAGCTCTTGAGAGCTGTCTACTCCAGAGATCGAATCCTTACTTTTTAGACGGTAAAATAACAATAACAAGCATAAGCTTCACCCATGAAAATAATAAGTCCTAAAATTGTAACTGCTGGCAACTTATCGATAACTTGTCGAGGCTTATCGATATCAAGACCTCGATAAACTCTTATTGAGATATTGTTAGTCAAGCCTAGTTGAAATCTATGGCACTAATTTGCACTCTTTTTTATCATTCAAACCTTCACAGAATCTAAGTCCAAAACTGATTTGAAAAATGAATAGTAATCTTTTTTAGGACCAAGAATCAAACTGTAACAGAAAGCTGTAATAGATATTCAAATATTTACAGTTTGAGTTTTAGTCATTTCACCTAATAACATTTCCTGCATATTCTCATGAGACGCCAATGAAAAACACAAAACGGAAAACAACTCAAGCACCACAAGAAAACAATCGACACAATGACAATTCGTGTGAAGAATTCGCCATTCTTGATGATATGATAGGCGATGTGAGGAATACAGGCAACGACAACAATTCCCTGAAATTTGTTCTCGTTGATTTCTTGACAAACTCACTCACCAAGTAGATTGTAAAGAGGAGTAAGAGGTTAAATTTCTTAAACATAATTCCAAATAAACCAATTAAATAGAAAACCATATAGGCAAGAAAAATGACTGTCCCATAAACAAGATGGATCGCCTCGAGAGTGCTCTTTGAGAAGAAATCTTTCCAGGGCCTAAACTCAATGTGACACAAATTTGTATAGTAATCGGATTATTGAAAACTGAAAGTGCATAAACTTATTGTTAGCTTTTAGCTAGCGTAACAGCTTTTAGTTTCACAATAAAATGCAACAAACCCCTCTCCACTGCTGATATTGGTGAGTCCCCAAAATACGGCCGCAACAACAATGAAAAGAGTCGAGAAAATCATTAAAAATGCCTGAATCTATTAACCTTATAAAGCTTTTAAAAGTTTCAAGCTTAATTTCCAAACCTTGTGCTTTTTACGTGACTTTGGCCAAGAAGTTTTCTGAAGAGCCTAAATTATTAGGTACGCCACAAAGCAGACTGGAGTTTCTATTAGGTTGGCAACCATGAAACCGCAATTTTTCCATTAAAACACCTTATTGAAAAAATAACAAAAATAGCACTTTCAATCCAAAAGATATTCTCCATTATTTTCCTTGATATTTTTCTAACGTTCCCTTAAAGCGCGAATACCGCGTGAGAGAAAGTCGGCTGATTGATCTTCACAAAACTTTGACACCCAAATTCGAATCTCGTCTGAATCTTTAAACTTTTTTCCAGCCAGGGAGTGCTGCATTTATCGGAACAAATGGAAATCATATGGTGCTAAGTCCGGGCTATATGGCGGGTGAGGGAGAGAGTTCCAGTCTAGCTCTTCCAATTTTTCTTGAGTGATCTTTGCCTTGTGCGGATGAGCGTTGTCTTGGAGGTATCTCACAGTCAACGGGTTAATGCCTCGTTGTTGGAGAGCTTGATTCACCGAGTCGAGTTGTTGAATATAAAGTCCAGAAGTCACAGATTGGCCGAAATCCAGAACCTCAAAATACAGCAATCCCCGCGTATTCCACCAAATACATAGGATCCCCTTCTTCCTCTGGATTTCTTGTTTAGGAGTCGGAATTGGAGTAGCTTCAGAATCTAACCACTGTCTTTTTTGATTGGGATTATTGTAGTAGATCCATTTTTCGTCAGACGTTATCCCAAAAATCCCAATCCCAAAAACCTGAGTTTTTTGCTTGTCGGAGGAGAAATCCTCCGAGGGTAACCCTGTTGGCTTTATGCTCTGCACTCAACTCATCCATTTTCCACAGCGGCTCGACTTCCCCATTGCGTGCAAGTGCTTTTCAATTGCAGTATGACTAACGTTGAAATTTCCGCCAAGCTCCCGTGTTGACAAAGTTGGGTCATTCTCGACGGTTTGACGAAGTTCGTCGTCGTTGACGCTTCCGGAGAGATCTCCTCGTTCCTTGTCTTTCAAGTCTTCATCTCCATCTCAAAATCGTTGAAACCATGTGCAAACTTGAGTTTCGGAAATATCAGAGCTGCCAAAAGCACTAGTGAGCACTAGACATTCCCGCAGGGTCTTGCCTTGTTTGAAGTCGTATAACATGCACACTCGAATCCTATACTTGCTGTCGTCCATTCTAAAAGAAGAAAATTAACCAAGAATAAAAGCCAAAATAAAAAAGGAAGTAGGAAAAGAATAAAACATGAAAATAAGTTAAGTGTGTTAGCGAAAGTCGTGACAAAAAAGGAAAAAACCTCAAAAAGTTGTGTCGCGGTTTCATGGTTGGCAACCTAACATTAATGTAAATATTACATCGTTATTCATATTACATATCATATTACAAGCGGGGATAAGTATTGCAACAAAGAAAGAAACAAAACCCAAACTTGATCGCTTGAAAAAACATTGTAGATAAGATAATTTCTCACACAGTGATGACGTGGCTCAGCCTGTGGTTGCTCGTTTTTGCTCATCTCAAGTTCAAAATTCTTCTGGATTTTAATTGAGTCGCGATCTATGAATGCAAATTTATGACTCTAGAAGTGCATTACCATTCTCGGAAACCATGTCGTAGTCATTCTCGTATCGACCCATATTGTACAGTTTTGAATTTGTATATGCAAAACAATCAGAGTGAATGAATAGTTTAGGATAACAAACGAGCCTTTGGCCAGTTAGTATGAGTTTTCTGATTGCATCTAGTTCCGGTTTTATGTCTTTCCCTATTTGGCTAAACTGATAGGCTTTTTCTTTAAGTACTTACGTATTGCTTTCTTTCGACAAAAAGGAGCCACCTAAATTGCAAAAACCCAGTCTGAAAACACAAAAAGAAGCAATTTTTGTACCATTTACTATAAGTTTTGATCACTTTTCAAGAGTGATTTCGTATAGTGTTTTTATTTGGCAAACATTTTGGGAAGAGGAGAAAACAAAAAGAAAAACATTACCTTTGAACATGAAAACTTTAACAATGAAAGCAAAAGTTTTGCTAGAAAACAGCTTTCAAAGGCAAGGTCAAAGCCAACTTCACAATTAGACCTACAATTCCGTCAAACTCATTGATTTTGATTATATAACTTTGAAATTTGATGTATTTTGTGATACTCTAGTACAAAAATCTCTGAAGTCCATTTAAAATGGTTTTTTGCAAAAAAAATGTACTCAAGATTTTGCGGGGGTAATCAAATAGACGATTCGTTATTTTTAGAGAAAATCCACCTGCGCGTTCTTACTAACCAGGAAATGTGCAGCCAGTCGTCTCATTCTTTGCAATTTCTGAGTAATGGACTTGATAGCCCACGAGGAGCCAACAAAATACTTGATTTTTGAAGTAATCATTGGAGTATTCATCAATCTCTTCACCGCGTATCTGATTCTTTGGGTATCTCCAAAACAAATGAGTTCCTATAAATAATATATTCTTTTTTACCAGGTTGGTAAAACTTAAAACCAACTTAAAAATAAGTTCAAGTTTTGGTCCTCTACTTATGAACTCATATTGCACTGCTTTGTGGTTGAGTTATACTTCCCGGCTCCATGCTACAAAGGATTTAAACCATGAAATATATTGTTCACGAATCCAATTTACAGATTTAAAGGCAATTTTATAATGGTTAGTATTCATTATTTTTAAAATTTCTGTTTCCATTTAGAAAGTCAGCTTTGTCGCTGTTGCAAATATGTTCCTGGCAACTTTTCAATGTTTCATATATCGACATCAAGTTATTCTGCCTAGTGGGCACGCGTTCAAGTGAGGATTTGATATATATATGTTACGTCCGATTTAGACTCAGTTGTTGTTTTATGTTTTACAGAAGTTTTCAGAATTTTATTATCGGTTGTGAATTGCAAACCAGTTTATTTTTAGAACAAACAACAAAAGATGCAAAAACAACAAAATTGAACAATACATATCAACTTAAATAAGACTGCAACAGGGGAAAATTAACAAATACAAGTTTAAAAATCAATATAATCATTATTTATTTTTACAAGTCAGACTGTGGTGACATCGGGAGTTGCAAAAAATATCATTTTTCTTGCAGGCACATCGATTTGTTGAGCATCCTCCGTTACATAGACAATGTTTGTGTCCTAAACAAACAAAAATTAGTATAAGCAAACACAAAAACAATACCTTGTTTTCCATGAACTGATGCTTCACCAATGGCTGCTCGGAAGGAAGTGATCGTGCTAGGGATCGATTCCAATGTAACAAACGTAGTTTCACAAGGATGTAGTTGATTTCTAAATATCACCTCCAAAATTAAGAGCTTATAATCAAAAGCAAACCTCAAAAATTTGTGGTTCAAAGATCCATTTGAAGTTCCAATTGTGTAAAAACCATTCTCCTCGGCGATGACAACACCCATTAGGTTTCGATGTCCAATCTTTGGTCGATCAACAGGGCCAATTGCAATCCGCACATTGCTCCCAATGTGCAAAGGTGCAAATCTGAACAAATAACTTACAACACATACGTGGGTAAAAAAGGTACCTTGAATCTTTAAGAAAAATCAATAACAAACCTTTGTTCTGATGATTCCAGCATTTTCTTTGCCTGTTGTTTTTGTGCAGCATGCGCTTCGACTCTTTCTTTGACTATAGAGTCTTCGAGCTTATCTAACGCACAGACATCGTCTAAAAGAAAGTTTTTTATATGAACTAGGAAAAAGCCTTATTTGAAAAATGTACATGTTTCTGCATCACGATCGTTATCCAAAGACATGTCAATTCTGATTGTTGCATCTTCAGGAATCTTAAACAAAATTCTACAAATTGCAAAAAAAAATACCACATCTGATTTCTTTTGAATTAAACAGCGGTTAGAAGCCTCAACATTACTAAAGAAAAAAATTTTCCATGTAATTAAAGAATCTATAATAAAGTAACAAATAACAAAGCAATAAAGTATACCTGAATCTAATGTTGTGCCGAGCAACTCGCTTATCACTTTTTCCTCGCGCTCATCGCTTTCTCCATCGTGTGTTCCTGACTCATTTGTTGTGTCGAGCACGCACATCACAAGTTATCAAGCCAATCCTTTACCTGAAAAAAAAGCAATGAAATATTTCAGAAAAAAAACACGCATTAAGGAGGAAACATAACTAAAAGAAAAAATAATAACGGCATAATTTTAGCTTTTACATAAATAAATTTAGGTAAAAATGCGCGAACTGAATATTAGACGTATATGGTCGTAGAAATAAAAATGTTAGTAAACAACAAACATCGAGTATAAGTCCAGTTCTTTAGAAAACTGAGTCTAAATCGGACGAAAATCTAAATCGGACATAACATACAGTGATCCACAAAAGTATTGTCCCATTGCCATCCAAAAGTTTCTTTCGTATGAAAATCTTGCAAAATAACGATATTCCCAAAAAGTGTAGGGCATTTTGCTTACCCATAATACTCTACTTTTCAAGATTATAAGATTTATCCGTATACATTGCAGAAAAATTAAAGTATAAAACAAAAACAATAAGTTACTTAACAAATAGCTCCACAAAAGTAATGTCCCATTCATGTTTTCCTTGATTATTCTTTTTGTTTTCGCTTTCTATGAATATTAAATGTATTTTATTTTATTATTTAGATGACTGGCAAGAAAAACCTTGACACTCCGCAGAAGCTCCGAATCGCCAAGGCCCGGGAAAATGGGATGCGGGAAAAGGATCTGGCCAACCTCTTCAATTGCTCGATAAGGACGGTGCGCCGCATTCTTTCTCAATCAAAAGTCGACCGAAACCTTCATCGAGGCCTCAAGACTGGCCGACGACCAATCACAACCACAAAAGAAGATCGAGCCGTGATCCAAATGGTGAAAAACGATCCTAACAAAACATCAACGGATGGAAGCCAAATGATGAGGGATCAATTTAACAAGGTTGTATCGCCAGAAACGATCAGACGACGATTAAATGAAGCTGGATTATATGCAAGACGGGCTGCCCGTAAACCTCTGACAAATTCTAAGCACCGGAAGCAGCGCCTCGACTTTGCACGGACCTACCGAAGTTGGACGACACGTGATTGGGCGAAAGTATTATTTACCGATGAGACAAAAATCAATTTATTTCACGCGGATGGAAACCATCTTATTCGGCGACCAACTGGAAAGCGATACGCACTCAAGTACATTCGGCCTACCGTGAAATTCAACGGTGGAAACATATTGTGTTGGGGTAAGAACCTTTTTAGTATTTTGTTATTTAGATTTTTTCTTTAGGAGCGATGTCTCGAACTTCAGTAGGTCCGTTAGTCTACGTGAACTCGACGATGGATGCTGTGGCTTACAAGAATATTATGGAGACCCAAATGCTTCCCTTTGCCAATCAAACGATGCCTCCCGGATGGATGCTTTACCAGGACAACGACCCGAAACACAAGTCGAGACTGATGATGGGACGGTTGGTGACACTTCAAAATGGTACCAGAGCTCGTCTGCCCGGATGGTTTTCGGCAACTCGTGTTAAATTGATCAATCCACCTCCCTACTCACCGGATCTCAATCCAATTGAACATTTGTGGTCATTTGTGAAGTCGCGCCTCAAGGGAAAGAAATTCGATTCGAAGGCCGCCTTATGGGTTCACATTCAACGTCTTTGGGCCACCATCCGCTCAAGTCTTTTGAAGAATCTTGTGGATTCCATGCCGGATCGACTCAATGAAGCGATCAAAGCAAAAGGAGGACCAACCAAATATTAATTTTCTGAAAAAATTGCTAATTCTTTGCAAATGGGACATTACTTTTGTGGAGCTATTTGTTAAGTAACTTATTGTTTTTGTTTTATACTTTAATTTTTCTGCAATGTATACGGATAAATCTTATAATCTTGAAAAGTAGAGTATTATGGGTAAGCAAAATGCCCTACACTTTTTGGGAATATCGTTATTTTGCAAGATTTTCATACGAAAGAAACTTTTGGATGGCAATGGGACAATACTTTTGTGGACCACTGTATATATATGTCGTAGCCGATTATGAATCAAATGACTTCGCTAGAGAAAATCATAACCGGCATAATCGGCTAGCCGATTATGAATGAAAGTAGCTTTTTCTAGAAATTTGTCGTCAAATGCAAATTATTATGTTGATATTTAATTGTTTAGTGCTGTTGTTGTCAAAGTAACTCCTGACGTCTTAACCACGTTTATTGAATGTAAACGAAAACATATTAACAAATTATCTATAGTTAAACAATAACGAAAAACATAACAAGAATAACAATAACAAAATTAACAAGCCGAAAGATTAACAAAGGTTTACAAAATTACCCCTTGTTCAAGCAGGAATTGCTATGGTGGCATCGGCTATTACAGAGGACATTGGCTTTTCGACAGGCACACCGTCCATTCAAACATCCATTTGTGCAGTTGCAATGCTTATGGCCGAAAATGAAAAATAGTATTAATTTTAAAATGAATTTGGCTTAATATTGCTGAACTAGATTAAAATAGACACACCTTGCGATCCAGTCAATGACTCGGCTTCAACAGCGGCTCGAAACGACGCCTCAACAGGTGACACTTCTTCAACTTGTAGTCACCGTCGGGCACCGATTGAAGGTCAACCAAATCGTTTTGACATCGTTCATTTTGTTCTTTTGTCACAATTGGTTTTATAACAATTCCTTTCTTGGGTATACCCCTCTTCAGCTTGCATTCATCACAAAGCTTGACAAAAATTTCAATAATCTCCTTTGATATGCCATGATAGTCGCAAAGTTCCTTCCACATAATATCGCGTCCAGTATGTACTATGAGTATCCATCAGTAGATTGAAGAGCTCCTCCTTCTTGACCACTCGCTTTGGTTGATTGTTTTGCCCGCTTCCGTGACTGTAGAGATTCGCCTAGTCCTGTTCGTATCGAAGAGAGAAACGATTTCGCAAGTTGACATCATCGCGTGATTTTTTCTGCTTATCGTTTCCCTCGCTGAATTCTTTGATTTCCACAACAATTTTATTGTATTTGACAGCAGACGGTATAAAAATCTTCTTTCTTTGCGATTGATATTGCGTGAAGGTTTCAGCAAATCGATCCTCCATCCTAAAAAGAAAATTTAGTCCGATGAAAATATAAAAGACAAAAGTTAAAAACTTGAAAACTCTTAAACTTTGTTTAAGAAAACTTAAACTTGAAAACTTTGTTCGAAAGTAGAAAGCATGATTATCAAGTGGTAACTAGTAACGTATTACGGTTCAAAACATTTAAATTCTGGGTCGAAATGGGAAAGTTGCCGATCCGTACTCGAACTCGGGGAATTGGGGTTTTACCAACTACAACATAAAAAAATAATTTGCATTTGACGACAAATTTCTAAAAAAAGCTACTTTCATTCATAATCGGCTAGCCGATTATGATTTTTGCTAGCGAAATCATTTGATTCATAATCGGCTGAAATTCATAATCGGTTACGACATATATACCAAATTGTGATGGGTGCAAAAACGAGAAACATGCACAGAAAGAATTGCATATCGCTACTTGTTCAAGTGATTGACTTAAGTTTTACTAAGTCTAGAAATTCTTACAGGCTCTCGAGCCATTCTTCTTTATCGTCATTCCGTTAGTGACCGTGTCATAGGTATTTTTGACAAGATCAATACTCCCACAAGAATGGATAAATGCTAGTATAACTCCTGCACACTTGCATGCGACGTTCTCTTCGATTTTGATTTGCGCTTTCACGGATCCGTATAGAAAGTTTATTAAGAGGCATCTGGAGATAGTACTCAGGTAGTTGCTGCCAAAAATCCTGGTGTTTATCTGCTTGAACTTTTCCCAAAACGAAGCTTGCTTTGATTCCTTGACCGAAGAGTTTACTTACTATCTGGCACTGGCCTGGTCCTGGGCTGACTAACTAACCTGACCAGTCACCTTATTGTCTTAAATTAACATTTCGATTGATTTAGCATTAAAAAATTGATAAGAAAAAGAGCAACTTTCTTTTTTTTGGTTTTTAAAAAAGTGCTTTGTTACGATAATGCTTTGAAGGAGCCCCAACGCATTCAGCCTTCAAAACCCAGAAATTTTTTGGAAAATTACCGTACATTAGCTGTTTTTTAAACATTTACTGCAATAAATTAACACTCCCGACAATTATCTTTGAAAAATGTTCATAAAACTAGAGGAAGCATGCAGACAAATGTGAGCACATCAGACAACAATTGACTTGCAGCAGATGTGCAAAACTGGCTTCATTTCATATTTTCTTTCATTCTAATCATTTAAAAATTGCTTCTTTTTTAAAATTTGCTTGCCCTTCTCTCGCTTTTTCTTTTCCGTAAGACAACATCTCTATTTTTAACAGCAGTAGTTTATGAAAAGTTTTCTTTCGCTTTCGCAATTGATTTCTTTTAAACAATCTTTAATATCGTTTACTTTTCAACCAATTTAGAAGAGATTTTGTCTAAAGAAACCCGTTTTATTACCAGTTTCAATGATCTGATTGCAATTGATTAATCTTTCAACGATTCAATCGTTCAACGACCGTAATATTCTTTTTTGAAATTTTTTTGAAAGACTTTTTGAAGGATTCTTAAGGGGTTCAGGTGAGAAAATATTTGCACTTTTAAACGTGTTTTCTGTGTGTTTTGGACAAAGAACTATCGTTTAAAATAGTTTTTAACAGTTTTAAAATTCTTGATTCATGTGGGGAGACTTTATCTATTTTTTGGGCCGTCGATTCTGGGGGTTTGAAAAATCGATGGACATGTCCTTCTATTAAAATAATAACGGTGATTCAATTTCAATGAAATGATCATGGTTACTCAGTTTCAATTGTTGCGTTCAGAAAATGACTCGAGTCTGGTTGTGGCGTCCGAAAATGGAGAAGCAAGAGGATGAGACGAAGAGATCTCACTCGATGTTTTTCGTGGTTGGTCTCAAAAAAAATACTAAAGTCTTACTAAAGTATTTTCCGCTGAAGTTAATTTTGCCCTAACTAACATCGATTTTAATCAGATTAAAATATTCCAAGAAATTAGCCTATTTGAGTATTTAGTGGTGTTTCCGTGTTGCGATTTATCTCGAGATGCTTCTGCTCGGTTACGCGCAAATCTTCCTTATCGTCGATTTCATTAAAAGGACATGGTTTGATTTTAGTGTGCCGGTGAGTTTAAGAAACATTGTTCGACTTATAGATTTTGATTGTTAAGTGTTACTGTCATCAAATTTCTAGCTGTTTTGATTGTTTTCTTTCAGACTTTGAACATCTTTGAGATCATCTTTGAGATAATTTTCTTCACTCATCTCCTCGCGATCATCTCGATTCACTCAAAGCGACCATTTTTCATCCAACTCTACATGGTGAGTACAGTAGATTAAAAAGGTTTTTAGCCAACTTTCAGAAAATCTACTTACCGTTTGCCGGCCTTTGGTTATTGCTCATCGCCGGTGCGGCTACCTTAGCGTTGATGTGGGTTTAAAAAAAAGTAGTTTGCAACTTTCTAAAGAGTATACTTGAACACTACCATACACCATATATTGTTAAAGTTTTGAAGTGAAAAATCATGCGTTTTAGAATTGGCCATGGCCTGGGTGGGCCTGCAATTGTAGGAATAATTCTCGTTTTGGCTCTCTATGGAATTCCGTGTATACTGCAAATGCTTCTCACCTATTCCTACTATCAGTGGATCAGGTAAATCAAGTTGAATTCTAAATTAATTCACCCAAAGTCCACTTCCCAAATAAGGAAATGATTTTTGGGATTAAAAATGAGAGACAAAGTGAAAAAGATAAGCGAAACTAGCAAATAAACAGATTTAGATGAGCGAATCATAAAAACTCTTTCAATATTTCAAAAAGACTTGAGTGATTTTGCATACAATTAAGAAAATTCAACAATTTTAGTTGCAATTAAAGTTCACTATTGAAAAACTGTGTACTTTTCAGAGATGAACGACTCAAAGTGGAGGAATTGATGAATCTCTCGTCTCCTTTTGGGGAAGAAGATTTATCATTCTCGGGATCGTTGTCGCGGCAGAGTCAGCAAAACCGTGTAGCTTCACGCAGCAATAAAAGTTTCAGACAAAGTAACTATGCAAAAAGAAATCAAATAAAGATAAATTTTGAATTTCAGTTGGATCTTCTCTCTCAACAAATCCTCAAGCGCAGACTCCTCAAAATTTCCACCGTTTGACGTTCAAGCACACTAACTGGCTGGTAAGATAGGCAAGAATGAGAAACATATAAATGTCTATGAGTTTCAGCCTGGACCGAATCTCCGCCTCCATCTCTACAACTCGCTTTTTGTGGATAATGATGAAATACCGAATCATTGTTACCCAGAGTCGACTACTTTGTGTGAAATCCAAAATGTTATTTTTGAGTGTGCAAATTATGATGATCTGCAAATAGCCGTAAGTAAACAAAAAAATTGCCCCACTTCCACTGGTGTTAAGTATTACGTTACTAACGAAATCTTATTTTCAGCATTTTCTCGAGGCCACTCTGATCACCACTTGGGAAATCACAAATCTAGCTTTTCGTTTGCCAAAGGGTGGACATTTTGCAGCCAATTGGAATGCCTACAGCCGATTGATGAACTGGGTTATGTAGGTGTTTGAATAATTTAAAAATAGAGAAAAGGCTTCTTTCTATTCATGACTAATCAATCACTTTCAGTAGATCTTGCCGCATCAAACAAAACCTTATTTTCTTCATGTCGCGTGCTGATTGGACTCTGATGGTTGATAAAAGCGAACGCCCACAAGATAAAATGCTCTTTAATGGATGGTTTCGAGATTATGTTTATTTGGATCTCTTCGACACACTGGATTTCACTTTTTCACAAGCCAAAGAGTATTCTGCTGAATTTAGACAAGAATTGCGTTGGCGATTCACTCGTCGCAAACACTAAATCATTGAGTTGTAGTTTTGGTTATTTTTAAAATAATATTGTCTATCATTTGTTTACTAAACTTACTGTTATTTGTTCTTCATTTCAGTATTGTAACTTGATTCCAATAAAGATTTTTCGAGAATGTCTTTGTTTGAGCTTGTATGGACCAAGGTTTAGGCCTTTTTTAGCAATTATTCGGACAGTTTCTCGATTAACTTTGATATCCATGGCGTCTTTTTGGAGCAAGCTCCTTGGTTTGCTTGATTTGAAGTTTGGACGTTTCGCAGAACTCCTTCCCATAGAGCAAAGGACAGGCAGGACTGGTGTAAGGCCAGAAACTTTGGTCTTGACTGAAAACGTTTTTATCATTTCTTTTTAAGCTCTTAGAACAGTTTTACATTTTTTCTTTTTTAAAAGGTTGTCAAAATTTTGAAAAAAGTGTGTTTTCTTTGCAAAAAAAATACGACTGATGCAAACTCAGCTGTAGCTGTAACTCAAATCGGCCTGGAGGCACGCGCGCTCTATCATATAATCGGAGATATGCGATGCTACAACATTCAGGTCAATCAATCAAACTAAAAAGACATTGCATTTTCAGAACACAAAAGCCAAGGTCTGGCAACTGAAAGTGACTGGCGGCTGCATTAATCGTGGCGAACAAGCAACATTTCTTGGGAAAATTATTGAAATCCGAAATAACTGTGATATTTAACAAAGTTTTGCTTGTACATGATTCATTAGGTTTGTTCAAGTTAATTTCTATTTGAATAAACTTTTCGTTGGCAAATAGAGCTTTGTTACCATCGGTTCTGATGAATTGCAGCAAAAGCTATATTTAGATTTCCGTGTATTTTTTTTTGGAGAACTGAAGGGGGCTTTGATTTATTTTTGTCAAAGATATTTGCAAGTTTTATATTGAGAATAGTCCTTATCGCCATTAGAGAAAAAAGTAAAAAAGGCTAATGGTTTCCATACTTATTGGTTACCCTGTAGTATGCTAACAGTCTATCATTCAGCATACTTACACTTACACTTACAAAACCTATCATTCAGGCGAATAAAAAGGGTGTTGATTTTAGGCACAGAGAATGGAATCCCTTAGTGGATCATCGAGAACTCGTGGGGCGAGACATGGGGAGAGAAAGGCTTCATGAAGGTCGGCAATAGATTAGAGACTAAATTAGAGACTAAATTCGACGTTAGAGACAATACAATTTGAGAGCAGATATTGAGCTGTGCAATATTGAGACAAGAAGCCTCCATCAAACGCAAATCGTTTAAGATTAGAGATTCTCTTTTGCCAGCTAGAAAACAATTGTTTTTGGTTGTTTGTTTCTTGAAAAAACCACATTTGTTGGAGTTTTCAAATGTTTTTTTGCTCGAAAAATGATCAATCATTTTGATTGACTCATCCTGTTTCTGAATCATTCTGTGATCCAATCAAAAAACGAATGGCACCACAAAATGTCGCTTTGATTGCTATTTGAACTCTAGAAACACGTGCTACAACGTGTCTTTTGTTTAAAAATTGTAAGGCGAAAAAAAACTTCACAAATGTAAAGATAAAAGGATTTTATTACAGAATTCGCTTCTAGTATGTAATCTTTGTGCCGGCGATCTTGGCTGTGGTTACAGTCGAAACGACGGTTGCTTCAACTAAAAATTGGTGAGATGAACAGGTAAAAATCGGGGTTTGTCTCTTCGAAATTCAGCCTCACCCCATTTGTACGTGATCGTCGTAGTCGGTCGATTGAGTCGACTAAATGCAATGATCGGCACGACGTTTCCCTGAGAGACAATCGCTGTGCCCTTGTCCTCGGCACAACACTTTCTGCAATTGTGAATAGCTTATTAGCATTTTTAGTCTTTTATTCAGTTTTAGAATAGTTACAGTATACAATTTCTTACGTATTGTTATCCCTTTAATAATCCCTATAAGGTTTTTGATGTAATTACCGTAAATACTGTAATAGTACCCCACGCCCCTCGTACAGTCGTGTAGTCGCAGTATTTCATTTTTTTTCAAAGCGCCCGTACTTTCAAAAATGCGTCTTTAGTATCAAAAAATAGCTGAAATTCAGGGCTATTTTTTGATACTTAAGCGCGCATTGTAGCATAAACCAGTGTCGAGAAACACTCGTTCAAAGCTAGACTACACCACGCTCCGCACCGTCATTATGGGGGTGGGGTACGATTACAGTATTTACGGTACGTATTTCTCGTTACCCAATTAAGTTATTAGTTTACTTTCTACCAAAAAACTAGCTGAAAATAGAAGGAATATAACTGAATGAATCTCACAAGGAGAAGACATAGAGTCATTCTGGGTTTTTTTTGAACTTTGACTGCTTCATCCTACTCAATTTGAGCTGCCGGACCTGAATCTTCATGAGTTTTTGCCCATCCTTTGCAATCGTAAGGAAAATAAAGCGGAAGTTTTTGGGATCTTCAAAAGGCGAAGTTAAGCCGCTGTTACAAGTTGCTCAGTGGCCTACTAAGTTGCTACGCTACAAGGCGAACAAGCTAGGTTCCACCCATTCGAATTTTCTTTAGCTTTTTTAGTTCAATTTCATCGAAGGCCCTTAGAAACTTCGGCTCTATTTTCTTTGAGATTGCAATGAATTGGACAAAAACTAATTACAGATTCAGATCCGGCAGCTCAAATTGGGTATATTGAAGCAGCGAAAGTTCAAAAAACCCATAATGACTTCAGGCCTTCTCCTTGTGAGATTCTGTACTATTTTTTGAAATATTAAACTTGATTATAGCTTGAATGAGGGCTGAGTTGAAGCTGTTTCAGTTACACTATAGAGTTGACGCTTATTAGAGGCAATTCAAAAGTTTCAGGCAAAAAAGCCACATTTTTTTAGACAAAATTCAGGCTGCACCAAGTTTAAGCCAAGAAATTCGATGAAATTTGGAATATGGCTTTTTAAACAGCCCTTTAAACAAATTGCTATCATCTTCAGAAACTGTAAGTCTCTCACCGAATTCCGGTGTATCTGTGATCGGACATGGCCTTGATCTCGATTCCGCCATGGTAACACCCATCCACACACTCGTTGTTGGTCAGCGTCGTCAAGACTATCTGCACTTTTTTCCCAGCCGGCGCCTGAATTGAGTTTTTTTTGATAGAAACAACTAAATGTTGTAACGTTCTCAAAATTTACTCTAATCAAATAGTTGCACATAGCGAAAGCATTCGTTTGGCCCATGCTGGCACTTCCAGCGGCAATCGTTGTCGTCTGAGCGGCCGCCGTGGCCGTCAACGCGGCTCCACAACCGGCTGGCTAAACAATAAAATTAAAAAGAACTCTTGGGATTTTTCTGTTATCCATTCCTGCAATTAGCAAGAAGTGGAACATTTCAAAATTTGATTTTTGGAGTTCGAAAGCGTTTGCAGTCAATTTTGGGCCTAATTTTACTTCCCCTCAAAAATTACTTCCTCGTTTTACGACCCCGAAAAAGTCGACCATTTTATATAAATCCCCGACCGCATTCGAAAAATCGAAAGAGAATCTTTGATCTCAAAAAAGCATTACTCTTTTGCACTGCTCTCTGGTCTTTTGTGTGCAAAACGAAAAGCATCCAAAGTAAAAACCAATTAGCAAACAAGTTTCCGTATAAGTAGCCAAATAAAAACTCAGTTCAATCTGATTTTAGTTATATAGTTGTTTTTGGTGGTACGAAAGCGGTTGCCAAAATTTCAGATCGAAACAATGTTTAGGAGAAAAGTTGTAAACGAAAAACGAGTGGTTCTATTGGGTTGGGGAGAATGAGTCGGCGCCGAAATTTAAAGAAACTTTTTGCAGCCATAAAACCTTCTTTAAATACACGTTTTGTTTCATCAAAATGGTCCACTATTTCTTTACAAAATGGCTTTTGAGAGATTCCACAAAGCTTTTCTTTTTTGGGATTTTATGGATTCCCAAACACAGCTAATCAAAATGACAAAAAGTCCGACTCATTGCTTGAACAGTTTCTTCCACATAAACCTCCTTTGGTGTTTATATAAAAAAGATAGAGCACACTCAATTACATAAGGTACCAAATTTTCAGGAAGATCCCTCCAACCGTTTACTCTAGATGACAGTTTATCGATTTTGTGAAAAAATGATCCTTTGTTGAGTTGAGGCGCTGTTTGAGTTCTCTTTTAAATATTATTTTGTAGAGAATTAGTTACCCTTCTACGGATATCAAACGCATATCATTTGACAAAGTCTGCTATAAGTTTTAGAAATTTCTTTGATTTTCGGCGCCGACTCATTCTCCCCAACCCAATATACAGGGTGAGCCATCTCGTTTTAGAGCCAAGAGAAAATTTTTTGAAAAACGGTTTAGGGATTTGAAATCGTGATGTAATTTCGGTCTAGAAGACATTTTTTCGCAAAAACAGAACCTTCTCATCGAGTACACAGACCTATTTTCTTAAGAGTTAAAACTTGAAATCCGATTACGACTCGTCAACTTTTTAGAGCCATAAATCTTGCGTTTCAGTTTCAATCAACCTAAAATCTTTCGTCTAGAAAGAGTTTAAAAAATAGAATTCCTTTGACTGACTACATTTAATTGAAAATTTCAGTAAAATTTAGATGGTTTTTGAGAGAAATTCAAGCGACCAAGCATTTAGGTTGATTCTGGCGATATATTGCCAATTAAAAGATTTTATCTTTGCTTGCAAAAGCTTAAATTTAACAAAAACTTGCTAGAATTACAAACTTTTATAAGAATATTTAGAATCGGATAGTTTTTTGTTATCTTAAAAGCTGAATTTGACGACTGAAAGACCAGGTGGTCCTGTAGTTTCTGACAAAGATTGTATATAATATGAATTGCCAGTCATCTTTCTCACCCTAGCCGCACACTGGGTTCCAGCCCAGCCGGAAGGGCAGAGACACTGGTTGCAAGCTCGTGGATTTCTGATCCCACCATTCAAACAAGTAGCCCCGCTCGTGCATTTTGCTAAATAAAGAGGAATTTCAGTGAGATCTTTCAAAAAAGACTTGGGCATCCATAGTGAGCGTTCATCATCACGATTTCGTTGAAAGAGAGAATATAGGAGCCAATGTTGTCTTGGTATGTTGGTGCAAGCTAAAGGAGATGACGATAAATAATCTTTAGGCTTTCCTACTGACCTTAGTGAGTGCATAGTATTGATTGGTTGAAGAGAGCTCTCTTCCATCATAGTGCATGATGCTTCCATAATCGTAAGTCTAAAAATCGACAAAGAATTGAGATGCATAGCGCGTGTTTCCAATTTCTTGAAAAACAATGTTTTTTAAGAATACAATTAAACCTGTTTCATGATTTAACCTAGATAATGACCGAATGTATTTCTAGGCCCTTCTACAGGCTGGCTCAAGAGTTCTGTCTACATTAGTCACTATAATAAAACTTGTAAAAGCCTAAGGTGTCTCAAATTTTAATGGTTACACAATGTTTAACTCTATGCCAACCATATAAACCTGTAAATACAAAAAGTATGGTTTCAAAAACGTTTTTTAGTATTATTTCCTGTGAGCTAATATCGTTTTTCAGTTTGTTCGCATGTCAAGTTTCTATAATTCGTTTTCCAAACTAATTTTAGTGTCTTAAAAGGAAATTTTGATAACTTATCTGAAAGAAGAATCATTTTTCTTTAAAAGTATCCCTGAAATAGTCAAATTGCTTTTGAAATTATCGATTTTGAGAGTCTCAAACATTGTTAATCGAGCTTAAAAATCGAGGGAGTTCAAGGGAGTTGCGTAAGACTCGATTGAAAAAGCATTAAAACTTCAAAACACAAATTCCTCTTTAAAACAAACATATATAAAAGGTAAAAAATAGTCGAATTTTCTAAATTTGAGTTTCATTTTGCTCTATTTTGATGGGATTTTATTATAAAGACACTTCTATTGATTACAAAACTTTACAGCCACCCTGTATAAGTCACTAACGAGGTTTGACAGTAATTTTTTTAAAAACTAACACCAAAGTTTTTGTTCTATGCCAAGAATTTGGGTTTTTAACTCACCACTCCGTAATTGTGATTGGTCGCAGAGGTTTCCTAAACATGTTTTTTGATCGGATCTCCTATCTATTTGCAAACCTTTGAGAATTGGTCTCTCCATTGGGCGGGGATTCTTGCTAGAATCACATTGAGGAACGTGTCTCGGTCCCATCGTGATTGTGTGTGCCAGAAGCCGAGCGCATGGCCGAGCTCGTGCGCAGCGTGGCCAATCGTTTCACATCCATCGCCGAGCGAGAGATCCTGCACTCCGCCAGTCATTCCCACGTTCGAGTAACAGCCGTCGCCTTTGAAGAAACGAATGCGGTTTCTAGGAGAACATTTCTTGCTTAAAAGATTTTAGATTTTAGATTCTTGAGAAGGATAGAGTAGGGGGATTTCAAAAACGGTTATGTCATTAACTTACTTTGCGGTGGCTGACTGAACAAAGCTGATGCACGTCGCTTTTCTCCATTGATCAATGCCCAACAAAGCGACCTGTTTGGCTCTGGCACTCAGAGCAGCGGCACCAGTGGCAAACGTGTAGTAGACAGTTCGGCCAGCCCAAAGCTCGGCCGGCCACTGAGCCTGGCGCTTTTTGCGACCTAAGATTTGCAGGGTGGTCAAGATTTGATCAAGAATTGCACACTATTCTTTTTTCCTACGGCTAACACATACCGTAAATGCTGTATTAGAATGGCATCACTGACCCCTCGAAATCTTGACTTTAGATCCCTTTTGGAAGTTTTATGGATAGATCTAGGTCTAAAACCTACTAATAATTAATCGGCAGTAAAAAATCGAAAATGTGGGTTGCCCACATGGATTTTTTTGGAGATTCAAAGGGGGTAAGGAAATAATTTCACTTTTAAACTTTTAAACGTGTTTTTTGTACGTTTTGGATAAAGGGTGAACGTTTAAAAAAGTTTTTAACGAATTCTAAATTTCTGATTTATGTGAAACCCCCTTACCTACTTTTTGGATCAGTCGATTTTGAAGAGTTGAAAAATAGAATGAGATGCCATTCTAATATAGCATTTACGGTATGTGACTTTCACGAGAAGCAAAAGCTTAATTCAGTTAGGTTAAGTTAAAACAACTTAATTTAAGCGAATTTGAGATATTTCTGATATTTTTCAACTCCTCTTTAGACTGTGTTTCTATTAAAAAATTAATTTATTCAAGTTTTACCTTGATTAGTTTCTAATATTATAAGCCTAAAAGCTCTTTTCTATTTCGAGTTCTTACCAAAAAAATTTTTGATTCTCCTGGGTTTGACGCAAGGTCAAATTTTTCAACTTTTAAATTTGTTTTAGCAAATCTGGACTCAATTTCGGATTCTTGATGTATTTTTTAGTCTAAAAAATGTTTTTCGAAAAGATTTTGGCTCGACTTCTCAAAAAAAAGTTCAAAAAATGCCATTTTTGACTGTTTTTTGGTCATTTTTTCTTTTTTGAACTTTTTTTGAAGCTGTGTGCGCGTGCAAAGCCAAAATCTTTTCGAGAAACACTTTTTTAGACTGAAAAATACATGAAGAATCGGAATTTGAGTCCAGATTCGCTAAAAAATGCTTTTTCTATTGCAAGAAACTAATGGAAATATGGTTATTAGCTCTCCATTTTAGAATAACGACTCACTGGCAGCTCCACTGGCAGGCATAACAACATCGATTTGCTTACTGAAGTTTAAATTATAAAATTAACAATCGTTTACATGACTCACTTTGTCAGAATCATATCTCCGTGGTAGAGATGTGGGGCCACTCCGGTCTTTGTGTTGATCTAGATTTTGACAAACGATTTTGTGAAGCGAAAACGTTATCTACTTGAGAAATTGTGTCTTCTGCAAGATTGGATTTTGTCTTTGGAACCTAAAAACGAAGCTTGCTAAGGATTTCTCATTAACAAACAATGATTGGCTCATCAACACCAGGTCGGCTCTCAGGGATTTCTTCAGCGGCAGCCGCAGCACGAGCCCGCGCAAGTGCAGCGTCAAATTTGTTAACATCTGTTTCTCCAAGTGACTAAAATAGACTTAAGCTGATTTATTATTATATTCTACGGCTTTAATATCTAATGATATCAATGTCAAACCTGTTTGAATTGATCGATTTGTGCGGCCGTCATGGTACCCCATCCGCTATCTAAAATAATATATATTAAGCGAAAATTAAGGAATAATTTGATGTATAATCAACTATATATAAAGCAGAAAAGACGTCTGTCCGTCCGTCTGTCTGTGCGCAGCTATTGGAAAAAAGGAACGGGGCTTAGATTGCGTGGAAAACGTGGACCTCTCCAGTGAAAAACGCGAACGTTTTCCGCGTTTTCCGCTGGTATTTATTATAAAAAGAAAGCCAAAAAGCTTAACGTTGAGCCTTTTTGTTTTTAGTATAATGAGTAATTGTTTAAGATTGACAAAAATTGCTTTGATAGATTTGTCTGTAGAAAAGCATTACCGGAAGCGGCGATGCTTGCGAGAAAAGCCACAACGCTCGCCAGAATCATTTGCTGCATCTAAAAAGAAATGATTAAAACTAGTTTATATGAAGCTGCAACTTAATTCAGGTCTGTAAACACTCGGTTTTTAGTTTATTTGGTTTCCCGTCAACTCCGAGCAAAACCAAATGTTTAAATGTGGTTTCTAGCTTTCCTTGCCAAGTTTTCGTCAAATTTCAAAAAACTAACACTATTCCTTATTCTTTTAAACTCATTTCTCTGTTCCTAAATAAGTTTTCACTTTTCCTCATTAAATTACTCAAGAATTGTGCCAACATGTTTGTTGTCACAATCAAATTCTGATTCTGATTCTGAGATTCTGAGATTCTGAATAAGCCGTTTACGGGATTCGTTTGTTCACTAGATTCAAATTAAATTCTCTATTTGGGGGTCTTGTCTTACAAATTGCTATTGTTTGACTATGCTCTTATAAGTTTTTCTAAGCTTAGCCCATTTGATAAACTCACTTTTACTAAAGGAGTTTCCTTATGGCCGAAAAGCGAAAGCGAATAGAAATGGGTTGAGTTAAACTAAATTTTTCATATCCATCTGGGTATTTATATGTAATGTTTTTGCTAATTGGTCTCTACTTTGGTGTTTTAGATTTTGCACACAAAAGAACAATCGAAATGCTCTTTGAGGTTTAAAATCTCTCTTTCGGTATGGCCGGTTTTTTGAACGTGGTTGGGGATTTACATCTAATGGTCGACTTTTTCTGGGTTCTATAACGAGGAAGTAATTTTTGAGAGAAAATAAAATTAAAAGCCCAAAATTGACTGCAAAAGCTTTAAACTCTGAACGTCAAGTGGCGAAATATGTCGTGGACACGCTTTTTGCGAGATTTCGACTCCCAAACTTGGCGAAGTTGACAAAGGACATCAACTTTGAGAGGGCTTTTCGAAAATTTCTGAAGTGGAACATCTCATATTTGATTTTTGGAGTTCGTTTGCAATCAATTTTGGGCTTCTAATTTTACTTCCCCTCAAAAATTACTTTTACGTTTTATGACCCCGAAAAAGTCGACCATTTCATATAAATCCCCGACCGCATTCGAAAAATCGAAAGAGAATCTTTGATCTCAAAAAAGCATTACTCTTTTGCATTGCTCTCTGGTCTTTTGTGTGCAAAACGAAAAGCATCCAAAGTAAAAACCAAATAGCAAACAAGTTCCCGCATAAATAGCCAAATAAAAACTCAGTTCAATCTGATTTTAGTTATATAGTTGTTTTTGGTGGTACGAAAGCGGTTGCCAAAATCTCAGATCGAAACAATGTTTAGGAGAAAAGTTGTAAACGAAAAACGAGTGGTTCTATGCAGGGTGACACAGAGGTGAGCCACCTCGTTTTAGAGCCAAGAGAAATTTTTTCGAAAAACGGTTTAGAGATTTGAAATCTAATAATAATATCGATTGAAAATTTATCTATCTAAAACAAAAGTAAAAGAGCACCTTTTAGAAACCCTGCCATATTTAAATCTTTACAACTCCAACCATGCAAAGAAATCTTCAATAAAAGCTTCCCATAAACCCTTTCTGATATTAGAAAAGTGCTTTTTTTGCCCTTAATCCCGAACGCGCTTATTTGAAAATGGTTTTGTAAAAAACAATTAAGTACAGTCATTAGTTAGGAATAGTTAATAACTGAAATTAAGTGGATTAGCTACTTAGGATTAGCCACTTAAATTAAGTGGATTAGCTCAAAGGTCCTAGGCTAGACGAGAATGATCTTATTCTAGGCCTGAAAAAGTCTCTGGATCCGACGAAAGTCAGGCTTAGATATGACTTTTTGACTCTTTCTAGCCTTTCCTTGTACGACTCTAGTTTCTAATCCGAAGCTTAAACCTCTTTTTTTCCTTGTCTAGCTGATTAGAGATCCTAGAGTCGGGACAAAACAGAAATTGGCCGAGGAGGGGATTGAACCAGAATCCTTTCTTGATTCACCCTCAAACGTCAAGCCTGTTTTTTTGGTAAATCCCAGATAGAACTATTTGTTTATCATATGACTCAAGTGATCACAATCAAACTGATTCCTGTTTATGTTCTCTGTTCTTTGGCATGAGAAAATACTCAATTCTTTGTGTTTATTGTTTCCTTGTCGAGGTCAAAAGTTTGTATGTTTTTGAAAAGATCAACAGTAACTGTTTATGTCTTGGATTAGTCATTTTATATAGAGTTCAAAGGATAAAGTCGCTTAAAAAAACTTAACAATCCTTTCAGTCTAACTCCAATCAGTTTCAGCCGATCTGCCAAATAAAACAACGTTGGCTTCGGCTAGTTGAAGCCAACGTTGTTTGATCCTGGCTGGGGTCCTTTTTTTGGGTTTTTTTGTTAACACCCTCTCAATAAAGCTGTTTCTGGTGTTCTGTCTACTGAGATTAGAGCAGTTTACGAAGCCAATTCAAATTGAAATTTCGCGCGTCGGGGTTTTTCGGTTATCGAACACGAATCTGCTTGATAAAGGCTTAGGTTTTTACAAACATTTTATTTAATTTTAAATTAGTTTGTCCACACTACCTCAAAAAACAGTTTGTGTTTTTTAGAAAAGCTAATTTTTGAACAAATTAGGTGGCATAGACTCGGAAAAAACTTGGAAAATCTGAACTTGGAAAATTGTAGCTTCGCATGGGAATGTGAAACAGAAAATTTGAGATAAGAACCATTTATTTAAATTAAGATTTGTAAATGTTTTCTTCCAGCACTTGCAGATATTCTAAAGTATGGGAATTTCGAGACTTCTTTATTGTCTTGTTATTGTCGACAGCTCTCATGGGACTTTATCTAGGATTGATGAACAGTGTCGATAAAGGTGAATGGCCATTGTTGGCTAATCCACCAGATATCGATTTTGATACAGTATGGACAATCAATATAATCATTGCCGAAATGGAAATTGGGGTAACGAGTACAGCACAAGAAAAATAGCTTCTGACTTTAGGTTATGACTTTAAGCCTTTTCATTACACCGATCGCTTTCTACTATTCAATCACAAATAATCACTTATCACTGCCGATTCGGTTTGTTTTAGAAATTATCAGAGTATAAAGAAAATAATGCGCGCTTCGAATTTCCGAGGCTGACAATTTGCCAAGTATTTATCTACGTAATGCTTTGAACAAAAATAAACTACACACCCACTAGATTTATAATCATTTCCCTCATCACTTCGCTAGTGGTTTTTACTGGAAAAAAAAATGGATGACAACAAGCTCGTGCTTCGAGCTGCCATGCTCTATGATTTCCAACGAGGAAAAATCCCTGCTGAATCTCAGTGTTCACTTGTCAAAGCTTTTGGAGATGATTGTATAAGTGAAAGGCAGTGTCGTCGATGGCTTCAGCGTTTTCGAGATGGCAACCAATCCTTTCGAATTTCACCATAAACAGAGCATGATGCCGCATAATAATGCTTCGATCCATGGATATCGGACTTGGGGGGTGGTTTACGGGGCTTCACCAGTAAAGAGCCATTGATTTTTTCAAGTGACATTGTCATAGCTGATCCAAGTTCCATCAGAAGGCAAGATTCTATCACAAAAATCTTGTGATTTGCACCTTTGAAGCAAGATGGAGCATACGGTGACACGAGCTATTTTGTTACCTTGGGTCAGCTCATGTGGAACCCATTTTCCATGTCGAACCTTTTTCTCAAGTTGATGCAAATGTGAAATGTCTCAATGTGAAAACAAAGATCTTCTCGGTGGTAAAAGATGAATTTTGAAAAGAACACACACATTTGGATCTCATCGTTTGGATTTGGATATTTATTTTGTTTCTTTTCCGAGAAAGTCGTTTAAGATAACGGCCAATGTGTGATGATTTTTATTAAACATAAAATTAAATTTATGGGCTTTACAAGTTTTTTTTTATGAAAAAGTGTTGCTTGGCCAGATTATAGATGATTATAGATAGGTCAAAAATAGATTTTATTATAGATAGATTTAAAATAGATTTAAAAGTAGATTCTATTTTTTGATTCGATTTTAACCGATCAAAACTTTACTATCGTTTTTGGTGCACAAGCCCAGTCATCGGGCTTTGGTTGACGGCATGTTTGTCCATCCGGGTAATAGCCGTACTTTATCGTTCTATTCAACTGAACGAGTTCAATGTTTATTTAATATTTTGTGTCTTGGACATCTACAGTCATGCGCAAAAGTATTGGCCCCTCCCATTGTTCAAATTTAAAACGCAAAAAAGTTCACTTTGTTAAATGATTCAAGAAAACTTTCAATGGTTGTTATACAGTATTTTAGTTCTAGTTTTCAAAAAAGGTAACAACAATTTATTGCCGAGCAACAATATAAAAAAAGCATGCAAGGAGAAAATGACGCAAAAAATGTGTGCAAAAATATTGGCCCTGAAGTGAAAACTGAAATATTTAATATTTTGTCGGGCCTCCCTTGGCTGAAATCACTGCTTGAATCCTTTTTGGCATGCTATCGACCCAATCGTTCAAGATTTGTGAAGAAATTTCATTTCGATTTCATCCCAAGCTTTCTGAAGGGATTTCTTAAGTGAATCGAGCCTAAGCTTTCATTTTGAGATGTTTTTTCACTATCCGACCCATTCCACCTCATCCGACCCATTCCACCAAATCCCTTGCTATTTTCCTCTGAGAACGGGTGTTCTTGTATCAGAAGCGGTCACGCACTCTCTTGATGTTACTCGGCGTCGTTATTGTAATCTTTCTTTCACGTCCCGCTCGATCAGAATTTGTGCTTTGAAACGATTGACTGTATCGTAAAGAATTGATTTTGGAGTCATTAATTGTCGAGAAATATCAAGTGGAGCGATTTCCTTTTGATGCAGGTTGATGATCGACTCTCTATGTATCGATTTCTGGATCATTCTAAAATTTTGCTTATTAGTACATATAAAACATACGGAAAACAATCAACAACCATGGAATCAATAGAAAAATATAAAACGATTACAAATAATTTGTTACGCAGGCAAAAAACTACTGCCGAAGATCATGTACCCTATTCCGGGTAATCTTGGGACACCCTGTATATAAACCCT